GAAGATGGGCAGGGAAGACGGAGCCCTTTTCTCAAAGGGAGCACATTCCCACCACACTGAAGCCCCGATCAGATCCATGGAGCCGCTCTGCCCTCCCCCAGAGAAGGGGCGAGAAGAGTGGCTGTTCTCCCCAGACGCTCGGGTCTGCCACTCCAGCAGAGATGAGATGCTCTCCTGCTTCGGAAGCCCAGGAGAGGGTTCGGTGCTTACTGATGTTAACCCTGTCCTCGTTTGTAGTAGTAAGAAAAGGGCGCGTGCCCGAATACTGTGGAATCTCGGGTCCCTGTTTCCGGCCCCAGGCCCTTCTGGTGATGAGTCTGCCTTTGGAGCCGGTGTTCGACTGAGTCCAATGTGCTGCTGCGCTGCATTTCCCTTTTTCTCCCTGGAGTCGATCAGATTTGCAAGTGCGTGCAATGCTTTGTCGGCTGACTCTCTTGCACTGTAGGAAAGCAGCCCTTGGCACACAGGAATGTGGTCTGATAATTTCTCTATCAGGATGAGGGGTGCTTGGAGGGGTTACCGACTTAGTGGGGCTACGCGTGTGACATCAGATGCCCCTCTGTCTCCCTCCAGCACATTCTCAGGTCATTCCAGTCGCGATGACTCCGTCTCCCGAGAGGACTGAATGGGTGTGTGCGGAGTTGCCTCACAATGGAGACGGGGTGTGTTTAGGGCAGCATCTGGTAGGCGGGGTCAGGAGAGCCCTTCTCAGGCCTGACGCAGGGCTACACTCCCACACGCCCTGATTCTTGGGGCCCAGGCGAGGCCCCTCAAAGAATCTGGGAAGAAAATTGCACTTCTATGATTACAGCTGGTCGGTGATACTTGGCTTCGAATCTTTTTTCTTCACTCTGGGGACTGTGTTAAGTTTTCTGATGTCTGGCAGGTTGGCGAACAGAAATGAAGGTGAAACAGCAGAAGCTGTTCAGAGGTAAGAGTATTTGATTCCAGAAGTTTGGGAAAATCACTGGGAAAGGGGGCGGGGGAGAAGACAGGGTATCTTGGCTGTATTGTCTTTGAGAGTTTTGGTCTCGTTTTCACTAAGTATTCAGCAGCAAAGGAAACAGATACCATTTCCTACTTGAATTTTATAAATATTTGGATACATTCAGATTTGGCAATAAAGATGTTAAGAGTGATTTCTGCCCTTTTGTCTCCAAATTGGAAGACTACTTTTTTTTTTCCTTCTGGGAGTTGGCTTTCACATGAACAGAGAATGCTAACTTTACAGCTGTGAGAGAAGAAAACTCAGAGAAGCACACTTTCAAGAGAGACTTTGCTCTGAGATGTTCTCCTCTGCCGCCTTCTCCATTTTAAGAGTGCTCTATACATCATCCTGAAGGAGCTGTTACCTCTAGATTAGAATTCATGATATTGCTGCTAAGTATTTAAAAACAATATCATTGGAGAGTGTTCTTCTAAACCACACTCCCTGGGTTGATGCTAAAAGGCAGGTCCTGATTAAATATTTTCAAGGTGGTTTTCTAAAGCCTTCATGAACTTTGACTTGTTGCATACGTTGTAGAAAGAATTTCCCTTCCATAACAAACAAAGGTACTGTTATACTAATACATTTCACCTACAGAACAATAACAGGGAACACAGAGTTAGATGCTGGGAAGTGCCCGACTGGGATGCGTGCTGACCGCAACTCAGGGGGGTGGCGTCTGCGAGCTTGCCGCTACCCTGGCTGCTACGGCTCTGCTGGGTGGGTGTCCGGAGTCAAGAAAACCAAAGAAATCAAGGAAGATGGATTAAAAAAAAAACCCTCACCTGTATACTTTATCATGGAACTATAGAAAGCCAAAGACAAATGACAAATCTTAAAACTTTTCGGACAGAAAAAACAGATTACATCTCAAGATTATTTTTAAAAATTCAGGTTTCCTTAGGGAGCTGGAAGACTCAATATACACAGAAGGAATAATTGTCAACCTAGAATTCTTTATCGGTGAAAACGTTTTTCCAGAATAAGGGGGGAGTAGACACATTCCCACTCAAACAAAAGATGAGACGCTGTGTGAGTGCCTCCTGCGTGTTTTAGGTGGAAGGAAAGTGACCAGAGGGGACCTGTGATGAGAATAAGAAAGGAGAGTGAGAGAAGCGGTGGACTTCTGGGCGACTCTAAACACTGACTGTATAAAACGTTAACAATGTATGGGGCGTTGGAGGGCGTCTTAAAGGCCCTGGCATTGTTTGGGAGAAGGCTGATGTATTGCTTAACTACGTTTAATCAGTTAAAATTTCCTGGCTAACCACCAAATGAACAGGAACAGAATACAAAACTTCAAATAGAAAGGGGCAGAGGTAGAGGCATCCAAAAAAAAAAAAATCAATCAATTCTAAAGAAGGCAATGGGGAAAGAAAAGAAAACACAAATCAAGAGAAAACCAATGAGAAGCGCAACACCAGAGGGCAGAAATACATTCAAATTTATCAGCAATTATATAAAGTACATGGGATGTTCTAAATACTTGATTAAGAGGCAAAGATTATTAGAAGAGAGTGAAAGTAAAAATTAACATTTGCTAGATAAATCTGAAACATGGTACCTTAGAGAGTGTCAATGTAACAGGATGAAGAGAGACAGGCGAACACTAGGCAGATACCGATCAGAAGCCTGTTTAAATGCTAAGGCGTTACAGTCATGACATAATGATACATTTACCAAGCAGAACAATCATAAGCTGGTTCGCATATTATAACACCGCCCCAGACTATATAAAACAAAAATGGACAGAATTATGACTTGAGATAGACAAATCCACCAATGTAATTAGGAGATTTTAAACACATCTCTCCCATGAATTGAATTGTGTCAGTAATAGAAAGACGTCAACAGCCCTGGCTGGTGTAGCTCAGTGGATTGAGTACAGGCCTGCTAACCAAAGGGTCATGGTTCGATTCCCAATCAGGGCACATGCCTGGGTTGCAGGCCAGTTCCCAGCAGGGGACGCACGAGAGGCAACCACATGGTGATATTTCTCTCCCTCTCCTTTCCCTCCCCTCCAAAGATAAATAAATAAAATCTTTAAAAAAAAAAAGATGTCAACAGCACTTGGTCCAGGACACCGTTTCAGAACACCTTCTCTGTGAACTGCAGTATGTATGTCCTTTAAAAATACACAAAAAGTTAAAAAGCTCTAAACAGTTTAAGAGATGAGTGACTTCCAGACTTGGAGAACAGCACAAACCTTGTTCTCGGACCACTATGGCCCTGAAGAAATGTGCGTGTCCGTGGTCAGGCAGGAAACATCGTGGCTGAAATGGGATCTTCGTTAGATCCAGTGCCAGTTGGCAGGTCTGTCCTCTCCCGGGTTCACATCAGTCTGGTCACCAGTTCTGAGTGACATTAGTGTTGCCACAACTATACCATTGGTCTAAATAACCATACCCCCAGGATAAGTGCACGCAAAATTCTCCCTACGAGTTTCCACCCTTTTATCTGACTAATGTCAGAATAGATAAATAAATGTCTTGTTTTTAAACTTGCTTAAAAGCTAGTTTAAAAAGTTGCTTGGTGTGTGCATATATAGTATTTTCCATTTGTAGACTTAAAGCTAATTGAAAAAGAAAACAATGTTAGATTCCAACGAATGGGTGGGGAAAACATGGAGGATTATTTCCACCTCACAAATTGAAAGCACCTCGTGTTAGGCAGCCCGGGTAGGGTTCCTTTTTTTTTTTTTTTTAGCGACGACAGTTAATTATAATGAAAGGAGAAGTTCTAGACATTTACTAACACTTGGAGCAGAAGTGGTTTTCAGTTCACAGAATTTTTTCCAAGGTTTTGCAGTATGATAACTTCTTAGGTAGAAACAGGTTTTTTATTTGGGCAAAAAAATGCCTGTGGTATAGTTTGCTTAATTGCGAAACTGAAATCCACCGAATAACTCCTGAAAAGGTCAAATCGTGTACCCCTTTTAGACTTGAACTTCAGGTTGTTCCTGTGCCATGCAGGTAATCGTTCCCACGCAACAAACGCAGGAAGCGAGAAACTGAAGCGAAGACTGGGCCAAGTCAGGCCACGACAACCCAGGAGGCTAAAGCGAAATCTTTTTCTGTCCCCACTGAGCCCTGTCCGGCTGTGGACCGCATCTGCGGCTGGGCCCCGGTCCTGGCTGCGTTGCCCGAGTAACGCCCACCTTTGCGCGAGACCGTTTACAATGGGCATCGCTGAGTTTCACTTTAAGCTTTTAAACCTACGTCCTGTACTGAATTCCCGAGGCTCCTCGTTTGACGTGGACGTGACACGATTTCACCTTTTCCCGACCACATTGGGTTTCCTCTCCTCTTACCTTTTGCAAGAATCAAGGGGGAAGCGGCCCCTGTTTGGAGCCCACGGACCCGGCACCGAGGCCACGTGTCAGGGGTGGTCACCTCCTGGCAGAAGCCTGCAGAACGCGTCTGTGCCCGTGCCCAGCCGTGCACGGTCCTTGGTTCTTTATGAACCTCGTCCCCAGGTCTCCCCGGAGGACCCTGGGGACGAGGGAGAACAGGGAGGCCTGTGCGGCGGAGGTCGCCTGTCGTTGCCCTGGGGCTGCCTCGCCGCTGCCTCTCCAACTCCAGGGCGCTGGTCGAAGCGTCTGTCCCCTGGAGTGACGACTCGTCCCGAGACCGTGCGCACGCCTGCCCCCCTCCCCCCAGGCCTCTGGCCCCAGCGGGCTCCCAGGGGTCCTGCCACGCCACCGGCCACTGCGAGCGCGTCCGCAGCCGGGGCGTCTGCGACTCCGCTGGGGCCACTCTGGCAGGTGCTCGCGGGGGACGCTCCGCAAGGGGGAGGCGGCGGCCCCGGGCTTCACCCCGCGGTCCCCAGGCTGCCAGGGGGCCGCCGCAGGGCCAGGAAACGCCCCCGAAGGGCGCGCCCCGGCGGCGGAGGCGGGGGCCGGGGCGGGGGCGGGGGCGGCGGGGGCGGTGCGCGGTCAGGTGCCCAGGTGCGCTCGCCCACCCGCCCGCGCGCGCCCCGCCCCCGCCCCCGCCCCGCCCACTTCCTGGTCGGCGGCGGCCGCGCAGGAACTGAGGCCCCGGGCGGCGGGGACACGGGCCGCGCCCGCATCTGTCATAGAGGCCGCGGCCGGGCGCGCGCGCGGGCGGGCGGCGACGGGGGCACCTGAGCGCTGCCCGGCGCGACCCCCGAGCGCACGCGCGACATGAGACCATGGACAGCAGGACGCGGTGAGTGCGGCGCTAGGCCGCGGGCCTGGCCACGTCCCCTTCGCGGCTCGGGCTGCGGGGTCCGCGCTGCGCCAGGGGCGGAGCGGTCCGTGGGCCGGCGCCCCGGGGGCTCCGAGGGAGCCCCCTGCAGGGGTCTCCCAACTCCGGCCACTCCTGCTGGCGGGCACCCCGGGGTGCATGGGGCTCCACACCCGCATCCACTTAGATAGTATTTTCATGGGCTAGGAACGCCTGCAGCCTTGTCCGCCCCCCCCCCCCCCCCCGACGGTCAGGAGGTCCAAAGCGATTGGAATCAGTGTGGGGGTTTTGTTTCCTGCCTTCTTTCTCTCTCTCTCTTTTAAATCCTGAAACTTTTGGCAAAGAATTCCTCTTTTCTTCCCTTACCCTGTTTTCTTACTTCCCTCTGGAAGTTAAAATAATGAATACCGTGTCTATTTGTATTACCGTGAAAGGTTTCTTAACTTTCACAGTGTCATGTAGTCGGTATTTAATTTTTACACCTAAGAAAAGATGAACTAAGGAATATTAGGAAAATTCCGTGATGGAGAATGATTTTTCTGCAGTGTTTGACAAGGCGGGGGTGGGGTCGGTGGTTTATAAAGTATGCTTTTGACTTTAGTCAATTATGAGGGAAGCAGTGACCTGGATCAGATTATTAGCATGTGGGCACGTTAATAGTGGGAGGGCTGAGGAAATGGGTATAACTGCAAATTAACTTATATGGCTTGTCACTTCCTGTTTCTGGACTCTTGTCTTGCAATAAAATTTGAAAAGAAAAAGAATGTTTATGTAGAAGCCCACAGTGGCAACAGTGTTGGAAGGAAGTGTATGTTAAAAACAGCCCCTGTACAGGGGCATGGAGGTCTCCTTACCAGGAAAAACTGAAATATATTAACGCCTGAGTCACGGGAACATAGTGGTGTCAGACTTTATCTTTGGCAGAAAGAGATTAAAACAGAACTCTTTTTTTTTTTAAACGTCTCAATAGATTTCAATTCACTTTTTGAAACCAAGCCAATGACTAGGTGGAATGTATGAGAAGTTAGTCAAGAAGGTGATGATTTCTGAGCATTTTAAAAAATATTTATTTATTTATTTTTAGAGAGAGGGGAAGGGAAGGAGAGAGTGGGGGAGAAACATCAATGTGTGGTTGCCTCTCATGTGTCCCCTTTTTGGGACCTGGCCTGGAACCCAGGCATGGGCCCTGACTGGGAATCGAACTGGCCACCCTTTGCTTCACAGGCCCGTGCTCAATGCACTGAGCTGTAGCAGCCAGGGTGATATCTGACCATTTTTGAATGAAGCAGAGCAACTGCACTGCCCCAAGGGGGAAAATCCAACATGGAGGCAGATGTCTCATTTCCCCAAAGATAGTTGATGTCAAACATAAAATGAGGCTTTTTGTGTTGGCCTAGTTGGGTCTGTTGGCCACTTGAAACATGCTCAGTCCGGTAATTGTGTCTCAAGGAGAACAGGTGCAGAGCATCCCATTTAAGGAGCATCCTGGACGCTTCCTGGGTCTCTGGAAGGTGGCAGATTATTCGCAGTTTACACGTAGACTGCGAGTCTTTCGAAGGAAGCCCGAGAACCGCTGTAGGCGGGCAAGTCAGAGAGGTTTAGGGATGCACGGCTTTTGTTGCGATGCAGCGAGATAAAGGTGATGCTGTGCGTGGATACACCACTTGATTCTTTGTAAAGGACTTCCGGACTTTGTAAAGGACTTTGTGGGACTTGATTCAGAAGCCCCACAGTCAGTCTGGGGTGGGAACAAGACACCTTCTAGGTGAGAAAACAGACTCAGAGGTTCCATGTTTCACCCCAAGCCTCTGAACTCCTAAGCCTCAGCTGTCTTCAGTTGCTGAACTGGGGGAAAATGTTTATCTCTGCTAGGTTGTGGTCACGGAGTTATGTGGCATCTACTGAGACAAGGATGAGGTTTATCTTTAGAGTTATGAAACCGGTGACTTCATAGAAATGCTTCTGTATGTCATAGGAAATAAATATAACAGAGTTCTTTTTCGTTTAGGGAAAACCCAGAAAGAACCTTTGACTTGGTACTGAACGTGAAATGCCACGCGTCCGAAAATGAAGGTAAGTGCGCTTTGTTGGTTCTTAACATGACCAGGTCTGTCCAACAGCTGTTCCCGTGGCGGAGGCCACAGCCGGACCCTGAGCTTATAGAAATCGTGAGTGTCATCGTGGCACTTAATTTTTGGGTGTGTGCTATGCATACAGTTTACAACCCACCCTTACCATGGGTTGATCAAGTTTTGGTGGAAGGCCACACCTTTTCATTTTCTTTCATTCATCCCCAGCAATGTAGCATCCTATTTTGCACATTGCAGCAAAATATGTGGTTGCCTCTTATGCGCCCCCTACTGGGGACGTCGCTTGCAATCCAGGCATGTGCCTGGACCGGGAATTGAACCATTGACCCTTAGCTTTGCAGGCTGGTGCTCACTCCACTGAGCCGCACCAGCCAGGGCATTTCTACTTCATTTCTTAAAACATCAGTGCAAAGCCTCCGGCAGTGCAGCAGGAGCCACACCAATTTCCTCATGATGTTTCCGGCATAGCCCCTTCTGTTGGCCTTATATCACTTTTGGGGGGCGGGCGGGTAAACAGCCTGTGACATCTTCTGGAAGGGGTTTGGCTGTCCGTTCTGTACAACTTCCTCAAAAGAAGAGGACACTCGGGTGGCTTTGGTCAGTCCTGCATCTTCCTCTCCGTGTGTCGTGTGTGGCCTGTGACTACAGATGTCGCCGGTGTCACTTCACTGATCATGTTCTCGGACCCTAGATCGCGTGCTGGTTGGGAGTGGGGTCTGTGGGCGTGATGTGTCCATTCTCGGTGGAAAATCAGGTGGCACTTTTAGCTTCAGAAACTGGCTAGCAATTATATGCTTTTTTTAAGAAAAGCAGTTCCATGCTCTTAAGCAGTTTGGAGCTGCACACCTTAAAATAGAGGAGCCCAACCCAGCTGTGGCCACGTGGGCGTGACTAATTTTAGGTAGGGAGTCACACATGTTCCTGGCTCCAGCAGGCCTGCCCGTGGCCTGTTGGCACAATGGCAGTGCTTAGCTTGGTCTCGGGCAAGGGCAAGGCCAAGGGCAAGGAGTGGGTGCAGGTTGCGCGGAGCCTTTTCTGATTTCAAAGGTTGGCTTTTGTTGTCCTGTCTGTACAAAGTCGGTCCGTTTACATACTTTTCAGGCCCAACCAAATTCTCTTAGAAGACCCAGATCCACACGTATGTTTTTTTCAGCTCCAATTTAAATCTGTTCTGTAGCGTATTTATGGTATGAATTTAATCATTAAAATACCTACCACAACGTTAGGTAAGGTGAGTGAAGTAATGCTTATCTATGTTCATAAGGCAGGCCCAGTCCCCTTGGGAAACTCGCTTCCTCTGTCGTTTAGTTTTTATTTTAATTTTTTTCTAAGAGCAGAGTCTTTTTTATTGTTTAAAATATGACGTAGAGTAATCATATTTCCTTTTCACAGTAAAGTTTAGAAACATTCAGTCTGTTCCACTTTCCTTGGAGGGAGCACTTGAACTTGTGGTACAAGCGCAGCAGAGAGCGAAGGGAATCACAGTCAACCCAGCTCTCTCTCCAGTTTAAATAAGTTGATATGTTGGGGAATTGAACTGCTTTGGCTGCAAAGATTTTGGTCTAGTTGTTAACTGTCTTAACTGAAACAGATCACAGTTCATCTTGCTGGTCGTCTGTGCAGTGACCACTGGGCAGCTGGACAGCAGGGTTGCTCCAGAGTAGGAGGCCCAGGGTGGAGCCTGGGTTGGGGTGGGGGTCAGGCAGGACAGGGAGGGGACCCCTCATCGTGACCCTGGGAGCCACCTTTGAGAGCAGAGTGGAGGATCTGGGACAGCTCTGAAAGAGGAATGCATGCCAAAGGGGTCTTGATAAAAGGGTCCACCCGCCTCCAGGGACATGCGGTCTGTGCCCCTGGCAGGGGCTTGTGACCTTCCGTGAAGCCTTGTGAGTGGTCACCACCTTCCTCCCTCCCTCTGCCCTTTTCCACCTTTGAGGAACTCGTTGGCCCAGTTTGATTTGTCCATTTGGGTCTTTTATTGTCTTCTTGTCCGTTTGCTGTTAATGTTGAAATCACTACTTATTAGAAACGTCTTCGTTTGTATTGTAGCAGTTTATGCAGCCTGGGGACGTCGAAATGCCATCAGTGGTTAAAGTAAAGGCCGCTGTGCCCCGCGCCACCCAGGCGCTCCATTGAAAAGGCTGGTTAGCGCCAAACCCTAAACATTTTGTTAAAAGCTGAATGGAACCGTGTAAAAGGCACTCAATGACTTCCCTTCTCTTCATTGCGACAGATCGTACAAACGCGACTAATACAGGTTTTGGTCCTTTAAAAAGTAACTGCTACTGTGTAACTGCATTTTTATGTGAAAGAGAGATCAGTGTTTCTAAAGGGTTTTATTACTGTTTGTACTTGGGTCAATATTAAAGGGAGAATGTCCAGAAATGGTTAAAGAGAGTTATTAGAACTTTCCTATTTATCTGTCCATAAAACCTGTGTATTTAAATGAGTCTGATACATGCATCAGTTTGTTTAAAGTTGATTTTTTTTTTCTTGCTCACTTTTAAAGGAATCTGGATGGTGTTCTCGTGTAGACCTGAAAAACAAAATGTGTCAGTTCGGATGCTTGAGGGTAGAGATATGAGATCTGTTTAGGTCACCAGGAACCTTGCTAGCTCCTCACAGAGGAAGTCTAGAAGTGGGTCACCGAAGGTCCAGGCTCCTCCTGTGTCTCAGCGCCCCAGCTGCAGCATGCGTGCATGGGGAGGCTCAGCTGCCCTTGCCCCCAGGCAGCTGTGAGACAGGCTGGGTGTCCCCTTTCCATGCCCTCACTTTTGAGCCAGGAAGTTCCTGGAACCTGGGATCCCAGGGACCCCAGCTGGACTGGGCCCGGCCATTGCTGGAATAATCACTGGGGGTGTCCCCACAGAGGGGCGAGTGGCAAGGAGCTCCCAGAGATCTGCCCAACACCTGGCAAGGGATGGATGCCGGGAACCAGTGAAAATGCTGTTTGCGTTTCTCAAGACCTTGGGTTCTGTCTTGCTGAGTGTCTGACCCGGCAGGAAAGAAGATGCCAGGGCCAGCTTGGTTTACGCCAACACTGGTAACATATTAAGACACTCGCCTTGCTTCTCTTGTTCATTTTTTTAATACAGCTGCTCTAAAGTCTTTCATTCATCCCGAATAATTCAGATCATAAATAGCCTCAGCAACCAACGATCACTAACTGTCAGTGATCCGTATTGGTAGTAGGTGCTGAAATATAACTTGGCGTAGCTAGCTGTTGCAAGTGGTCATTGTCCTCTGATCTAGGCAGATCCTCTGTTGGATTCAATCCTCACATTGAATTTTTGGAAAACAGCACCGGGGGGCAGTCTCACCTAGAGCCCCCCAAATGTAAAAATCGCCCCGAGGGGTATGTCCCCTGTTTGTTGGTAGAATTGGTTCTGGTGGTCTTAGGCTGGTTGGGACATCTTTGCACGGATGCGTCCCTGGCTAGACAGTGTCCCCAGTCACTTCTGTTCCAACCGCCCCAGAGGGAAGTGCCAACATCTAGATCAAAGTGCTCCTCCTGGTAGGTTTCCAAGCTTAGAGCCGTCTTCACCCTTCTCTTTGCTGCCTTTGTTCTGTCCCAGCGTCCGGGAGGTGCAGCCAGCAGGGCAGGCGGCCTCTCCTCAGTTCTAATAACAGAACTGACTGTCCCCTCGCCGCCCCAACTTTCCACACAGTGATCCGGGGCTTCCGAGAAGCACCTTGTCCTCAGCAGGAAGAGGAAAGATGCTTCCTCTTTGGGGTTCCCCGGGGCCAGGGCCCTGGCGCCCTGCCGGCTTCCTCTCCTTTGTCTTCTTGATGGCTTCTCCCGAATCCTAGCGGCAGCAGCAGCTAAGGCACACGCAGCTGGTGGTGCCACGCACGGCTGGGGCGTTCTACGGAGACTATGTAAGAGCTAGGAAACGTTTCCCTTCCTGCACGGAGAGGCTGAAACACGGAGGAATGAAGCGACGTGCCCAAAGTAGCCTGACGCCAGAGTCTGGGTTTTCATCTATTGCTTTTTAGTAGATTTAGCCAGTTTTTGAAAATCTATCGGTCTGTCGCCTCTGCTAACCTGAAAAACGGGAATCAGCCTCTTCCCTGAAATCAATGTGGTGAGTGTGGTTCCAATAGTAGCCACCGAACTCCTCCCTGTGGTCGTGGAGTCTGGCTCTGGAGGTCCCCCGCCCCCACTGCTGCCTCTGTTTTTAGGGTTCACATCTCCACAGTCAGTGACCTCACAGGTCCGCTTATTTGTCAGTAGTTTTCAACACAAGTCTGGTTTTCTCTGTTCCTGTCTCTTTGGCTGGAATAATTTCTCTCAGGAACAGATCCGTCTTTACTTCTGACTTCCCGTGTGTGTATCAACCAGCCCATCTGGCCCAGCGTCAGAGAGAGCATCCATGTCTCTCATCTCTAGTTTGCGTTAACAGTTCAACCGCCTCTTACTTTTCTCTTAAATCAGAGCCTTAGTCAGTGCCTGCATGCCTGGTGCAAAAAGGAGTTTCTAAGACCACTTGGCAATGGATGACTCTTTATCTACGGGGGTGCTGTTTACACAGAACCTGCCTGTGTGCCGCTCATACCGAGTCCTTGCAGACCTGCCCGGCACAGTAACAGACACACACATCTGCGTGTCTGTTGCTGTGCTTCCAGGAAGTCCTTTAAGAGCGTGCCCCGACTTAGTAATTCGTCTCTTGAAGGAAAAGTGTAGCACAGTGTCAGGCATGTTTGGCGACCGTTTGCAGAGTGACTGAAAGACGCCAGGTCTGTCTACAGCGCCTGGCTATGGAGCAAGTGCACGTCAGTCAGATTGGATCACAGAGCTCGGCTTGTGGTGGAAGCGAAGTTGAGTGTGTGTCGGTGTGACTATCTCAGGGACATTAGACACAGGTGAGCACGTATGTCTGGGACGGGGCAGTTTCGGGGTGGCCCCCATGCTAGCCTTCCTGTCCAGGACTTAATCTTTCCTCTCACAAGCTTCGCCGGGACAGTTGCTTCATAGGCGCGTTT